CCTGACCACTGGTCCTATTAGCTCATGGGAGTTGTGGTCCTAAAACATCTGGAGGGCCGAGTTTGCCTATGCTTGATCTATTTGATTGCATGCAGTTATTATAAATTGTAAACTGCTTTGATCACAGCAATATATAAACTACCGTATTTTTCGCTCTATAACACGCACCAGACCATAACACACACATAGTTTTTAGAGGAGGAAACAAGAAAAAAAATATTCTAAACGAAATAGTGGATATATGATTTTGTGGTTCATGCTGTGGCCACAGACATGTGATCTTACAGTGAGTTTGGAGTAGCCCAATGCAAAAATCCTGAGGATCCATGTGGATCCATGCTTTGTAACCACAGAGGAGGGAAGGAAGGGGAACCATGGATCCTCTGCTCACGACTGCAGCAGATCCCCCACGCCACCCGCAGGCATTCGCTCCATAACACGCACAGACATTTCCCCTTACTTTCTAGGAGGAAAAAAGTGAGTGTTATGGTGCAAAAAATACGGTAACTAGAGTTCAAGTCCCCACTTAGCCATGAAGTTTTCTGCATGAGCTTGGGCCAGCAGTCACTGCAATTGTGCAAATATCAGTCACAAATATAGGCGTCCCATGGAGAAGCCAGTTCATACAAATGGGGTTTGGCACACAATCCCCATAAGGTCATTAACCTGGTAGCAGTTCCACAGATTATTGCAGGCATTTATGTGGAGATCACTGAGAATTTAAACCTGGTCTTGGGCTGCTATAGGTCATGGAAGAATTTCTGTTTCAGAAATGTAGAGGCGTCCAAGCAATTTAGAACGACCGATTAGCAAATATTGTAAGTATCCTTTCTCTTTTTCAGATCTATGATAATTCTAACATCTTGGACATTTATCAGCAATTTACATAGAATTGGCTATACTCTTCCTATTTAGGATCATATTCGGGTGTGTTCCTTTTGAATTCTTAAATGCCTTTCCAAATAATTATATGAAGAGTGAAGTTTAAAGGGTTTTTACATGCAACTGTCATCATCGTAATTAATTTCCAGTAATGCTTGATGTATGGAAAGTGCTATAGCAAGTAAATTGGACAGAAGTCTCCACTATTTGAAAGAAAGGAGGTTGTGAAAGGCTGCTGACTAATACAGCACTGACCTGAAAGCAAATCCTTACATTCACGCTGGACCGGCTGTTCCCATGACAACCATTGTTATTAGTAAACTGAAAATGTATTGCTGTTAAGAGTGGCAGCATATTCCACCCCCCCCACCCTCTCAGTTCAGTTGAATTCAAGCTTTACTTATGAAAATCAGGTACTCAGATCACAGCTATCGCGAATTCAGCGCACCCTTCTTTTATCAACAGTGCAAACTTTGGGCTTATCCAGAAAATCAGTGAATATGTATACCCTGGTGTAGTTTTATATTTAAGAGAGAATCCCAGAAGTCTCTGTTCTAATATAATGATATCCAATCCAAAGTAACTGGCTGGGGGAGGGGAGGGAATTGGCACAGAACATGCGGGGCTATGTATGTGAGGAGGGGGCAGGTGAATTTAGGGATGCTTATATAATAAGGGGCTCACACTGTAAAATAAAAATAAAAATGCAGTGTCTAGAAACCATGAGGAAAACTAAATGCAAGAAGAAAACCAACATTTTTTAATTAATTCACCACCACAGCAAAGGTTCCTTTACTAGCTGTAATTTCTTGCTGATAGTAAAATCTAGTCTCTCTCTCTCTCTCTCTCTCTCTCTCTCTCTCCCCGCCCTGCGCAAAATAAGTTACTTGCAGTCCACCAGTTCCCTCTCACATCTGACGTTCTCTTGGCATCACCGCTGCTCAGGCCTTCATCTCTTTCACCATGTCCTGCAATATTCCTTCTTTCCTCCTCCTCCTCTCCTCTGTTAGCTGCTTCCAGTTATCCTTTTATTCTCTTCACCTCTCTCTTTCGCACAATCAAATCTTAGCTTGAGAGCATAAGATGAGTCTTATTGGATCAGACCACCAAGTCCAACATTCTGTTCTCACAGTAGCCAACTAGATGCCCTTAGCTAAATAAGCCAGAATACGCACCAGTGGCATTTCTGGATACTCAGAAGACTCCAGAAACAAGCCCATGGCACACACGTGCATGCAATTTTCATATAAGAATGTATATGTATAAATATGCATATACCCTGTTTAGGGAAGTTTTTAATGTTTGATGTTTTATCGTGTTTTTAATATTCTGTTGGGAGCCACCCAGAGTGGCTGGGGAAACCCAGCCAGGTGGGCAGAGTATAAACAACAACAACAACAACAACAACAACAACAACAACAACAACAACAGCGTAAATCTAAACTGACTTTCAGAGGGTGGGGGGAAACGCTGGCTGTCAGGAGTGACCCTGAGCTTTGGGGTGGCAACAAGATTTTCTGGGCCTAGTTCGCTGTATGTGGATTGGGCCCTCCATCTCACTCATTGGCAAGTACAACTGTTGATTTACATTATAAGGCTAAAAATAAGTGCTGCTGGAGCAAATTAAGATGTTGAGCGGCTGGAGTCTTATTAACTGCACTTTGTAGTGTGTCCAATCATCCTGTAAGTGAAATAAAGGGGGGTTAAAGGGGGGAGGGAGCAGGATATCTGGGGCTCAGCAAAAAAACAACAGCCCAGGTCTCAGACCCCTAAAAATGCTCCTGCTGTGTATGTGCTCTCTACACCCACATGTAACCCTTTTGCTCGAGTGATTAAACAAACCAAGGATGGGATGATTAACCTGATGAGTTCTATCAGCAGAAGCCTTTTGCAAGGACTTTGGCTGATGTAGTGGGATCTTCCCCATCTGCTTTCCCTGTGGCCCCACAAAAATTGACCCTGGGGAAGTAGGAAGAACCCCTGGAAAAATATGTGGGAGGAGGAAAAGTGTGAATGTTCTGTCTGGCAATCTGAAACACTTGCACTCACAGAAGAAGAAAAACGTGACACTGAATTTCTCCCCAGGAAACCACAGTTAACCATAGTTTCTTGTTACATATAAACTGGGAACTATGGCTAATGGCCTCAAACAACAGCTAATGAAGCCATAGTTTCAAGTTGTCTTCCAGATCTTGGATTGATTGAAAGTCATTAATATAGCTTTTAGTTCACATGTACAGTGGTGCCTCGCAAGACGAAATTAATTCGTTCCGCAAGTTTTTTCTTCTTGCGAGTTTTCGTCTTGCGATGCACGGTTTCCCATAGGAATGCATTGAAAATCAATTAATGCGTTCCTATGGAAACCGACTTCAGACCAGGTCCGGGGACAGTCTGTCCCCCGACCTCTTCTGAAGGCTGGGGGGGGAACAAGGGATTTTTTACCCCCAGCATTTTAAAAAACCCCGGGACAGCGGAGGACTTCTCCGCTGTCCGGGGCGTTCTTAACTGGCGGGCGGCATTTTAAAATCGCCCCGGGACAGCGGAGGATTTCTCCGCTGTCCGGGGCGATTTAAAAGCCCTCCGGGACAGGCAGGCAGGGGGAGCAAAGACCTTCGCCCCAATCCCGCCTTCAGAAGAGGTCCTGGACCTCTTCTGAAGGCGGGCAGGGGGCGAAAGTCTTTGCTCCCCCCTGCCTTCAAAAGCCTCCTCCTGCCTGGGAGCGGAGAAATGCAGCGCTGCGTTTCTCCGCTCTCCCGGGAAGGCAGGCAGGAGGGGAGGCAAGCAGACTTTCGCCCCCGCCCGCCTTCAGAAGAGGTCCAGGACCTCTTCTGAAGGCGGGATTGGGGCGAAAGTCTTT